CGATATCTCCGCGGTTCCCCAGGCAAACGATATTTTGATACGTGTCCAACCTCTGCGTGTCCGAGTTTATACCTGCGCGCGTGATCGAGCCTCGATTCGTTCCTGTCGATTAAAAGACTTTTACAAAGCTCTGCGCTGTCTCCTTTTTGTTATTTCCGTTCCGGTCGCAGTAACGCGTGAGATTCTCGAGACACGATCAATATTTCATCCCGAAATTTTTATTTTCATTGAAAGAAAATATCAAATATTGAACTTAAAAATATTTTATAATTATAATGTCGAATCATTAAAATAAAGTAATATGGCGGCCATTTAATCCTTTTAGGGAAATTTATTGGTTAATTTGATAATTCACGATAAGAAATACTTAAATTATATTTATGTATCGTTATTAAAATTTATAAATAGAAATTGATTATAAATTAAAATTTTATAAAGTCATATTTAAGAATAAATGAGTTATAAAACATTAAATTTTAAATTTGGACCTAAAAGTCCTAAACCTCCAAAATTATAAAATTATAAAATGACATCTGTAAATATTAAATATCATATTTAAATATATTACAATATATGTTCAAATATTTATATATTAAATTTGATATTATTTAATATATTTATTTAATATTAGATACATTAAATTTGATATTATTTAATATATTTATTTAATATTAGATATATTAAATTTGATATTATTTAATATATTTATTTAATATTAAATATATTAAAATGTTACATAATTTAACAAGACAGACAGAAATAACTATATCCAATTCCTTCCGATTCGTGTGTGTGTCAGATAACTCCTTCCCCTGATAGACAATAATTTCATCTAGATGTCTGATCTTATTCGGTGGGGAGAAATCAGGTCGATATGGCAGAGTTCGTAGATGGAGGAAAAAAGTTAACGAGCGAAACGCGTGGTAGGAAACTGCCGAACGATAATTCGACGCGATTATCCGAACGATACTCTCGCGAGAGACGGTGGATGAGATTGTCCGTTCAGCCCTTGTCTGGTGTACGGCGCGGCAAGAAAATAAATGGTCAGCCGTGATTTTCATGAGAAAAAGCGGTTAACGGTGTTAGTCGCTTAATGGCTCGCTGTTTCTCGGTCTTCGCTCGGTCGGGCTCGGTACTGTATCGATCCGAGCGTCGAAACAACTCGGCGTTAAGCCGCTTGCGGCTCGGTTCGAAAAGCTCCGCGCGCGCTTCTGAAAGCTTTGCCCTGGCCGTACACTTTGACTTGGCGTACCGTCCAGTTACCGGAAGGTTGCCAGTTTCGGAAGGACGAGACTGAAAATTCGCCGACATCCGCCGGTATTCGTGTTGGAGTTCAAGGTTGGAGAGCTGCGGCAGGTAAAAGCTGCACGGGAGGTCGAAGGTTCTCGCTTTCGGAAGCTCGACGACGAGAGCGAAGTTCGAGGCTTCCGAACAGCGGCAAAAAGTCTCGGCGTGGCGAAGCTTTCAGGGACGAAAGCTCGGCGCGGCAAAATATTTAGCAATTTGCAGGGCTTCGCAGAGATCGGTTTTCATTTCGGGAAGAGTTTGAAGCACGAAGCTCCGTGATGGAGAATTCCGGCTTCAAAAGAGTTGGCGGTAATATATTTTGCTCGACTTTGCTTGTTTGAAGATACTTCGAATGGTTTTATTGCGTCGAACGAGTTAATAGAAGCGAAGGGATCATACAGCTTTGACAGATCGGTGTGTTATTTGAGTACGGCGCCAAGAGAAAGATCAAGCTCAAACGTGATCATCGAGCAGAAACGTACGACATCCAAAAATTGTAATCATTGAGGCGGTAAATTAGTCGACCCGATCTGTAAAAGAGTTTTGCGATTAAAAGAGTTTTCTTACAATTTTAACAAAATTTTTCAACGAAATAAATAAAAAAGAAGAACGTCAGACTTTCTAATCGATGCATGTATATTAAATCATCCCTCTCCTTCCTTCAATTAACCAGAGGCCTCTTTTTCTTAAAAAAAGAAAACGAGACAAATCTATGAAATTCTTACGTTTCCTCCGGAATTACATAGCGATGAATCACCAAGACGATTTTCGGTAGGCGAACCAGGGTCGTAACTTCGAAAGAAACAATAATCGTTAGCCGGCGCATCCAGCGGGGTTAATGGCGGGTGTTTTTATGCATCGTAATCGACGCTGTGAAATGAAACATGGCCCCGTGTTATCCGGGGGATCGAGAAAAGACGCCGCATCGATAAAACGCGCGCCAAAGAGAAAAAGAAAGAGAAGAAGAAGAAAATTTTCGTTGCTCGGGCGTGTCTTCTGTTCACGTATTTTCGCTGCCAGGTGCACCGTCCATTGCAGCGGAAAGTTCGTCGTTGACACGGATTTAAGAAGCGTTTTCGAAATGGTAACACGCCCTCTCGTTGGCGTTTCATTCGGGTATCTGTGTCAGCGTCCTGGCCGACGTTTTACGGCATCGTTTTAGATGGACCCTTGGTTCTTCAAAGCGAACCTTTACGAAGGTGAAATTTGTAAGAGTGTGATTTCTCTCCACGGGGACCTTCTGGACGCAGGGAACTTCATTTTCTATCGCCAATGTGTTTCAAAGATTAGCATTGAAGATATTACTTAGAGTCTCAGGTGAATACTTTTGTTTTTTCTTCAAGATTAGCATTAGATTAGCATTGAAGATATTACTTAGAGTCACTTGTTTGTTTTTAGCGATGATGTTTCCAAAGATGGGAATATTCTTTCTCCACAGTCTTTGTCGGCTAATTTTGAAGACCGACGTCTCTCCGTTTTCTCTCATCCCTTTGAATTCGATTTTCTTGGAAGTTTCTGTGCTAGACTCTACTAGTTGCGCTCTTTTCCTCAAAATTTCAAATTTTCACGCTGTTGGTCCTCACTTGACAAATGATCGAGTCGTTACAGACTTTATTGTTGCCTCTGTCACTTACACGCGACTCGTTTTACCCTCTGAGAGGTTCGATTTCTGCAAATCGCTATAAAAATTCTCACGTTTCAAACGCTTCCAGCGCCACGAAGCACTGCAACTTCAACAGTCGCGAGCGAGATTCTCGCGAAAAAAAAGGAAAGAAGTAGAAGAAGAAAAAAAGAAAGAAACGCGAGGACACACGGACGAGAGGGCTGGCTGAAGATTCTCACTTCTCGCATGTTCAATTTCACGGCAAATATGGTTAGCCACATCAAACGAGTGTCTGGTTCTAACAAACCCAGTGCCTCTGCCGTCAAATGGCATCAAAGTGGCCGGAGCCAGGTAAGCTCTCTCGCTTCTCATGGGATGCGCCCACGGTAAACGAGACTCGAAGTGACGTATGTGGAGAGTCCCATTCAGAAGACCACATCAAAAGCATCGAGAGGGGTTTTAGCTTTCCAGCGAGGACGAGGTCGGCGACGATGTCGGGATCGTTAGCCTCGTTTTACGCAACTTTCCTCGCGTGCACAGCTATTCTTGCCGCCCCGGGGCTACCTTCGGCCCGCCCGTTACAGCGAGACGCGGAAATGCCCTGCGTAAATCGTCTCGCGTCTCCACGGCACACTGAGTAGAAAAGTCGTGTAGGGCCTGGACACATTCTGAAACCATGGATCCGAGAGGTTCATCTGTTCCGTGGCTGGCCAACCCCCGATGGCAGCTTGGTCCAACGGCACTTTCCTTCCACCGCTCCGCCACGGACTTCTTTTTTATTTCTGTCTCTTTCTTTCCCTCTCTTTCTTTCACCGGAGAGAATTGTAGCTCCCTCGGCCACGACTCGAGGAATTCTTGCGGTTGCCGGGAGAGCTAAAAGATTTACTTAACCGCTGTTCCTCTGTTTCCCGACCAGTTCTTTTGATCGTCCAGCTTGCCCCGGCTGTTTTCCATCCCCTTCTTCCCCTCGTACCTCGAGCTTTCCGCTTTGTTTCACCCCTGCCCACCCCTCTCCGCCCACGACACGGAGATTACGTCCGCGGAGTTAATAATTACGAGCCTCCGCTGAAATTCCCTGTATACACGGCCTTTCAGTTCGATGGTCTTTCGCCGAGTTAATTTTCCCGACGTTGAAAACTTCCATCCTCTCCCGCGGACAGGCCTCTTCGGATGCCGTCGACGAGAGTTTTCAATCGGACAATCCAACAATCGGATCCAGATTTTTTCACCGGCTGTATCTGAGGCTTTCTTCCCAACAACCTTCGAGGCTCGAGTGTCCCGGTATTAATTAACCTCGCGTTACGATCCTCGAATTCGTACGTCCTATTCCGTGTCTTTTGCTCCTTGTTTCAAACTGACAGAAGGTTCTCGAACTCGATTGGACTTGAAACGTTGTAAACGTGATTATCTCTCGGCTTTCTCGACTTGCGATTTTAATAACGATGAAACCGCAACTACACGTACGTGAAGTATTCGTTGATTAAACATGCAGAAGTTTGCAGTTCATTGCCCGATGAAGTTAATTGAATCGCCGGCCACATTAAAAATTCCACGCTTAGGTGTGTCGCGCGTACAATCTTTCAACCGGATCGTCAAATCGCAAAACATTTTATGAATTTTTCAAACCACCTGGGGGTGTTCCCCTCGATGTCGCTCTGTTTGTTCGTAAACATTTTTGCACCTTTGCCCACTCTCCCCCTCCCCCTCCTCCTCCCCCCACCTATCCCATCATTTTTTTTTTTTTTCACCGAGCGTAATTAAAAAGCGTGCGTTTACTTTTCCCTCGCGCCGTTCTCGATGGCCATTACGCCACGTGCACGACGCCACTTCACGCGCTCGCGATACGCGTTATCGAATTTGTTGTCGAAAACCGTATCAATTGTTCTCGCATAAATGTTCGATTTCGTTTCCGCCCTTTGCTACTGTTACCTCTTTTATTTTTTTTATTTTTTTTTTCATCCGCTCTCCATCCACTTCGCGATTGTTACGTCTCCCCTTTGAATTTGTTTGTTCGTACGCGCCCTCCTCCTCCTCCGCCTGGTCCTCGTAGCATCTCGTTTTTGAAAATGGCACCAGTTCGACTCACGCGAGTGCAGCGCTGATCGAACGATCGTGTGCAAATCATGGGAATTTCTGACCTCGTTTTCCACCTCCGGCCTCATGTGCTTCGCGATCGTTATCGTTGCCATTTTTCTTTCGTTCGTCAGAGGGTTCGTTTGGTTCTATTATCGGACAGCGAGTAAATGATAAGTAAAAGGATCGTGAATATATATATTTGCAATTCGTGCGTTAATTGTGTGTGTTATTTAGAGTGTACCAGTGGACATAATGTAACGAAGTTGGAAACTATAATATTATGTATTATGTCTTATGACGACAACGAATTGAAATGAGTAAGAAGGATAAACGGTAAACAATGAATAAAATCATTCCCTTTCTTCCTTCCTTTTATCTTGCAATTTCGTTTCCTTTTTTTGACAGAGTGTCGATAAAATTTTTATTTGCACTCAAATAATTGTCTACGTTTTGTCTCAATCTTCGATGTCATCGGGGTACTGAGAACTGATAACAATTTAGTTTTTTAGCGTTCATCACTACGCGAAACACGTGTGAAATGTAAAATACAAGATCAAACATCCTGAATTTTAGTAACGTAACATAAATTATACCAACGGCCATCCATAGTTAATTACGCCCGCGCGAGTGATATTCTTCTTTTCATCCCCGAGTAATGCAAACATGCAGTTACGCTTTTTACAATTTCGGCCGACAGAAATTCTCGACTGTTTTATGTTTTATGTTTATCGACATTTGCACAATAAATGAATTGATGTTCTTGTCGTTCGGTAAACAGACAATAACGGAGTTATAATCCATCGGATGTGTTTTCGTCTTTTTTTTTTTGATCTATTCCGGGGAGTCGCGAATTGGATAGATGAAAAAAGGTTGGTTTTCAAACCGCGCGGAATTAACTGTTAACTGAAATATTTTTGCCATGGAGGTTCGCAAACACGAATTGGAACGCTGGTGCAAATTAGTGCGAAATTAATATTTAATGCGACGTGACGTCAGCAAACGTTGCCCGGCGCAGTTTTTCCGTTTACCTCACGCGAGTCGAATTCAGAGTAAATAGCGCCGGATATAATACCGACGTTCTGTTTTGTCTTGTTTATTTCTGCCCGATCGTTACACGAACGTTTACGCGCACGCGATTATAATTATTCAGACGAACGTGAATGAAACGCGGGACAAAGTGTTCCGTTGAATATCTTTCGTCGTTCCATATACCGAGTCTCTATACGTCGAAAAACAGGAGGGAAATCAGGCGCTTTTAATCGCTAGCTTCTCGCCGGGCGAGTATATCCAACCGTGAAACTCCCTTTTACAAAATTCATCGCTTGTATTTCCAAGATACCGTTACAGCGAGATACCACGTAAATTTTATTTATATTGCAATTCGTATCGACCTTCGACCCGCAAAGATGGAATTGTTTATGAATAAATTACCATCCGTCGATGATGAACGCGCCGAAACTTTAAAGTCGGACATTGACAGGATGTTCGGCTGTCAATATCTAATAAAAGAAATCAACGTGAATTTCAACGTAAATTAACAAACACGGTGAAAAATCCAATTGAAACGCGAACGCGTTAACTGAGCCAAACTGAGAGTTTCTTCCATTCTGTAACGAAATGTTATTAATAATTAATTAAAGTTTAGTACGCGAGCTGTCAAACGTGCAAAGCAAATAATTTTGCAATTATCGAAAGTATAAAGAATTTCTCGCGATTATTTCGTTCAATAATAACAGTGATGTTTCTTTAAATATCGTAGGTATAAACTTGTATCAATCCTCCGAACAGTTGATTAATTTAGCCGTTCCTTGCCTCGGTCGAAAGTATCCCCCCCACCAGAAACTCATCAGTGTCGAAACACGATCAACCATTTATTTCCCGCCGCCCTTTCTAACGAGATTAAATTAAATGAAATTGTCAAGCTTGTACACTTGCACGGGACCCTGGGTCTCGACGATTCCGTAAAGTACTAAAGGATGATCGATTTATTAGCGAATGGCACGGCTGATTTGTGGGACCGCGTGCGTAAGCAATGCCGATTCAGCAAACATCAGAGCGTGCGAATGATTAACTAAGCTTGGCGTGGCGGGGGTGTCATGCAAATAGGCATTATATATTCCTAGTTCATTGGGGACCGATCATTAATATTTGCGCCTCCATGGCTGCTGCCCCCTCTCCCACATGTGGCTTTCAGAGGCACGTATGTTATTACCGATTGTTAATGTGCGTGGCATTATTTATACGTGTGTATACACCGTATGCCCTCCTCGCTCTCACTCTCTCTCTCTCTCGCTCTCTGTTTCTCTCTCTGCGCTGTGAAATCGATAAGGATAAAGCCCCTGGTGCAGGTCGATAGCTTTGGATTAACAGTAACCGATTTATCCATTTGTCGCGCGTCTCTTTCCCGCCGAATTCGAGATCCCACGCGCATCGACGATACTTTCGATCGCGATTCCAATCCCCCTGATTAATCAAAGTCAAATTTGCGAATTTTAACGGGCAAGTTCACCCGTTTACAGATTTCATGATTCGCCCGATGGCTCGGTTGGTTTCGCTAATTTCTAATTGCTTTTGTCGTAACACGATGCGGCAGAGGTGTTGTCGAACGAACGATCGAATTTCTTTTTTCAATTAATTCACCTGCGAGGATGACGTGATACGTTTGAACTAAAGTCAGAAAGCTAAATCATCATATTTCAATCGTGGTGTACGAATATACTTGAATGGAGAACAGTTGAATTTGAAGGATGAAGGAAAAAGAGTCAAAAGGTTGGTGCAGGTGGTTCAAGAATATTTAAAAATTCCAGAAGAATAAATTCAAGCTCGAAGTAAGTTCTACGTACAGACTTGAAAAGGATGTTCTGTTAAACGTGACTGACATCAATTCTAGATCCTCTCGTATTTCAACGTGCCATCGTCTATTTAAACGTACGTACGTACGGTCAACTGGATGGTAGAAATGAGGGACGTGCAAAGTTAAAAATTCAGAAATTGAAGCCAAGTTCATGAAAGCGGGGAATGAGACTTAGGAGGGGCGGAGAACGAGGACGAAATAAAGCAGAGGATAGTTGACAGCTTTATTAGGATGGCTATTCACTCGGTTGATAAATCTTTTAGAAATTTCAAGCTTCGACCGGTTCATAATTTAATGACGTTTGATTATTCAGTTCAGTTGCGGAGTGAAGGAATTGTGCCTCAACTTCTAATTAGATTTCGCCTTTTACGGAGCAATTTCAGCTGAAGCTGCGACTGAAGTGTATATCTCGAACTGTCTTGGCTGACAATTGTCTCTGCTCTCGTTCAAATAATCTCTACTCGTCGCAGTGGACCGAAGATCAAGTGTTACCATCAAAATTAGATTCCGTAGCCGTCCGCCTCGAATCTCCGCGTTACGGGGCCAGGATGAGGACCGGAGTATATACATATATATATGTATAGCTCTAAACTGATTCCTCCGCGAGTTCATGCAAAATGCCGGGATCTGATGCAATTTAGAGTAGCTGCTCGCGAGTCGAAATTCGCGCGCAAATGTTTCGGAATAATCTGTGCGCCTCTGGTACACCCGTGTATTGCGATGCAACTTATCGTTCCACATGCGGTTCCGGTGCATTGCGCTCCCCCGAAACTTCTCCTCTACCCTCCACGAAATATCTTTGTACCTCGCCGTGTCTAGATTTCTCGCCGAAGGATTTTTCGATAACGGCGAGAAACGAAATCAACTCTTGCGTTCTTGAATTTTAGTAAAAGAAAGAAACTGGGCAAAGGCTAGACTTTAATCGACAGCGTGGCTATATTTCGATGAGAAGAATATCCAAATTTGTCGACAGTGTTAAATCCTGTACTTTTGAAATTTAGCGAATGGTCAGACTCGAAAAACATTCTCAGATTCCCGATCGACGACGAGAATAATTTAGATGTCTGAATAATTCTAGCATATTTGTGAATATTTCAAGTATGAAATATCCATAATTATACGTGTATTAATATTCCATACATGGAACATCGTTGCAAAATGCATTATATTAATAATTAGGAAAATATGCTAATTATGAATGATACATTAATTTTGAAGGAGCAAGTTCTACCAACAATGATGCTGTTTGTACGAGGCATTATATATGATGCGATATTTAACACATTCGATGTGTCGTCGCGATTAACTCGTGTCACGCAAACCAAGTACCCTCGTTGCAAATTAAATCGATCAAAGATTGAAGTTTATTCGTCGATCGTTTCGGTTGGACGAAATTGAGTTGAAACTTCAAAGGAAACTTTGAACTATTTTACGCCGAGGTGACAATTGATTAAATTACAATAATTAATGAATCATCCTACAGTGAATGTCCGTGCACGAGTACCTATATTGATAGAAATCTCAGAACACGTGTAAGAGCACGAAACTTCAACCAAGATCCAACAAAGCACACTTTAGCTCCGGTAGTTCGATCTCTATTGAAGCAAGCGAGACACTGTATTCACAATGTAACTGCATCGATCGATCCTGCCATTCGATGCTTTAACCTTCGACCACTCTACATCATAGAATCTACTCTCTTCCTCTGTTTGAGATATTATATCTTTCTACGGGTAAGTCTTCCCTTTAATTCAATGACTACATCTATCAGAGAAATTGTAATTAAAAATATACGAAATTTTTAGAAATGTATAAGACTTTCCAGTTCTTGTGTCAATTTCACGGAATGGAATATCGAGAAATGGACAGACAAACTTGCGCATACCCAAAGTCCAAACCTAACGCTGTTAAATCAAACTCTGTACTATTAATTGCGAATTTATAAATTATAATTAAAGATATACGAGCTTTGAAAAATCTACAAAATTTTCCAGTTCTTGTGTCAATTTCACGGAATGGAATATCGAAAAGTGAACAGACAAACTTGCGCATACCCAAAGTCCAAATCTAACGCTGTTAAATCAAACTCTGTACTATTAATTGCGAATTTATAAATTATAATTAAAGATATACGAGCTTTGAAAAATCTACAAAATTTTCCAGTTCTTGTGTCAATTTCACGGAATGGAATATCGAGAAGTGAACAGACAAACTTGCGCATACCCGAAGTCCAAACCTAACGCTGTTAAATCAAACTCTGTACTACTAATTGCGAATTTATATATTAAATTATAATTGAGAATATACGAACTTTTAAAAATCTACCAAATTTTCCAGTTCTTGTCAATTTCACAGAATAGAATATTGAGAAATGAATAAACTTGCACATACCCAAAGTCCAAACCTAACCGCTGTTAAATCAAACTCTGTACTACTAATTGCGAATTTATATATTAAATTATAATTGAGAATATACGAACTTCTAGCAATCTATCAAATTTTCCAGTTCTTGTGTCAATTTCACGATGTGTCAATCAAACCAAAGTCTATGCTATTAATTGCGAATTTATATATTAAAAGGAATATTGTACACGATCCTTTGGTTTCACCAGTTTGTTCGTTCATATTACACGTCACGAATCATCGTATGACGTCGTTTTCACGGCGTGCTTGTTGCCCAGAGCCCGTGAAATACTCGAAGCGATCGAAAAGGCACGACGGATGCAGGAACATGAACGGGACACCGCGTCCCCGTCGAGGATGATCCTCGCAGCTAGCTCCGTGGCTAATGAGATTAAACCGGCCTGGATTCTGGTTGTGTAACTCGAACGGACGTACGCTTGTCAACGTTGCCAATGGCGTTGCATGTTTCGTTCGAGGGAAAACTCGCTGGTGCGCGGCACAGCGCGGGTGAGGGTATGATGGGGAGTAGAGGAGGATGGTGGATACAGCCCGGATAAAAGTGGAAAGATTAAAATGGCCGTCGCCTGGCTTAATGAGACGGCCGGTTGTTTCGCGGCGCGGTAGTCACACAGGTAGCCGGTTCGCGGTATTAATGAAATCAATACCGACACTGGATAACGATCGGCCGGTAGCTGCCGCCTGGCTAAAATAATTCGTCTCTCGTTCTTTCGCGCTGTTCTCGCGCGGCCAATAAACTGGCAATTAGCGGAAATTTCAACGTAGAACCGCGCGGCAGGAAGAATTGCCTACTGTGCGTGTCTCGCGCATTGTCGAAGGAAAGAGGAGAAAGCGAGAGAGAGAGAGAGAAAGAGAGAGACAGAGAAAAGAAACGAAGACGAGCAACCGTTTTGTCCCGATGATACGCCCGGTTGCCGAGTGTGCCTTTGATAAAAAATTGCCGTAAAAAGACGCGCAAGGATATTCACGCTGCGGTGATGCTTCTTGAGTTGTTGCTCGGTAATCGATCTTCTCTTGGATGCACGCTTTTTCTGATGGGAAATCCTGCCAAGCGCGATTGCCTGAACGTTGGCTCTTTTTTCTTTGTTTTCTTTTTTTTTTTTTTCTACAGAAATCTCCGGCGTTCTTTGTTCTCTTTCAATCGTGTTACGTCAATTTTGATGGCAATTGTAATTTTTTTGCGTATTTCAAGCACTCCTCGAGGGACCATTCCACCGGCGTTTTTATGCGCAGAATAGAATTTCTTTTTTCAACAATTTATCCACTCTTTCTTCATTTCTTTAATATCAACCAACAATTGGAACGCATTAATGGGAGGTACGAAGAATTAAAATGTGCAAGATGTGTTTATCGAAATGACAATTTTCTAATTTCAAGAGGACGCAATATGAGAAGGTATTTGGTAGAGAACGTATTTGGAGAAGGGAGGAAATTCTAGCTGACGAGTCGCCAACATGTAAAAACTTCCCCTTCCCTGAATGCTTCTGGTGAAATTCCCTCGTAAAAAGAGTCCGTGCGTATTAATGAAATAAAGGGGAATATCATTACGAGTCGGACATATTAATATCTCTCGTGACGTCTGCCAATTAGGCGCGTCCCGGCGAGAGAAAGGCACTCGGGGTAAGGGAATGGTCAAGAGTGGCCGTAGCAGGCGGCCTGATTAAGGCAATATTAGTAGTTGCAATTAAGCCGCGCAGAACTAAGCGTGCGTAGATGCGATGATTTTATTCAGGCGCACCGTTGCTTGTTTTATTAAGCCGTACCCGCGAAACGTAGCGGCCGCGAAATATACACGCGTGTACCGCAATTTTAGACATCTGGCGGTGGTAATAACTTAAGCGGCATAGCTTATGATAACTGAATTATGTAGCTACAAAACTTCGTGTACGGTGCACGCAAAGCACTCCGTATAATTCCAGCCACAGCGTGCAATTTGTAAGGGGTTCTCGAGGACCGGGATGCTTGGCCCGGTGTTACACTCCGCCCTTGGTTTTTGTCATTCGCAGGGTAATTCGTTTCCTTTTGCGAGCGAACAAAGAAAAAAAAGAAGAAAAAAGAGCAAAAATCACGTATATCCTGGCTATCGGATCTCGGATGGAACAGAGTGATTCTATAAAAAAATATCTCGTATCTGGCTGTCTCTGTTGACCGACGAATTTTTAATTTCACGGGCTCTCGAGTCGCGAGCGTGCGTAGGTAAAGGGAGGGCAAACAAGTCCCCCTGCCCCCTCGATAGCAGCGATTACCCCGGCGTCGTTATTTGTCGATTTGTAGGGTATACGTTTCCGATGGCGCGCACAAAGTGGCTTCTAAGTCGTTGCCAAGAGTTCCTTTGACGTTTCTTGTTACCCGGGACCCCGTCACACAAGGCGTTCGGCTAAACCTCCCACGACTGTCGTCTAGAGTCTAGACGTTAGGTAAAACCGAGCTGCAGATCCAAACCGTATCTACCTACACTCGCACACGCCTCCTCCACCTTCTTCTTCGTACTCTCGCTCTCTCTCTCTCTCTATCGTTTGTACCCTCACCCTTGTATCGCGTGTATGTATACAAGTTGTTCCCGCGTTACTAATGTATCCGTTGAGTACACTGTTAATATTTAAGCGCGCGTCCGGATTCCAGCGTAGCTAGCTACGACTCCTGCCTCCTTCGACTTGGCGAAACCCTTGAAGTTCCCAAGCCTCCTCCTCTCTCCCTCCCCTCAGACTCTCTCTCTCTCTTTCTCGTCCTGGGCGTTGATCGACGCCGACGAGAGACGAGACGAGCCGCGCCGCGCCGGCTTCACCAGCGCCCAGGTGCTCCGCGCCGGAACGCAAACTGCATCCGGTAATTTCGGGAAATTTCGATACGACATTTGCGATTAATTAATCACGCCAGTGCGGCGCGACGCGTCGGAGAAGCCGCGAGCACGGGCCGCCTGATTGCGTCACCGCCGCGAAAGCGTTCGCCGCCGTAACCACCGACCCCTCCCTTCACCCTCTCGCCACCTCCGCCACGATATATTAATCCGCGAAACAGGAGGAGACACCCCCCCTCCCTCCCCTGGGATGGGGGTTGAGAATTACCCCGACGCAAGAAACGGAAGAAAACCGAGCTTTGCGGCTGACAACCGTGTCGCGAACGGGAGGGTAGGTGGCATCGGTTTTCGAAGTCGGTCTGCGCAACGGCTGAACTCCCCGACTCGAGCGGGGGATGCCGAGTAATTCGGCCAGGTCTCCTCCGGTTTTCAGGCTGATGGAGTTTTGATGCTGTTTGGGGATACTTGATTCGATTAACGTTCGTCGTGAGGTCGGCTCGTTTGACGCCGAGTTGTACTGGCAGCGGCACTCTTGGAAAAGGGGGATGTTACGGTTCAATATTTGGATTGTACAGGATCCGCGTCGTTACACGTGAAAAGTCGCTTTTTAATAGACGAATGAAGTCGTTCTCTAATTGGAAGGTCTCAATGATAATGAGGTTAAAGGTTGATGAAGATGAATTAATTTTCGCTAGTTTTCGTTAGTATCTTGGAATAAGGGGACGAAAGTTATTAGATGTGTAGTTGCTGCATGTGGGACGTTGTTTGACATTTTTTTAAATAGATTAATCGAGTCGCTCTGCAATTGGAAACTCTCACTCATAATGGGGTTAGAAGTTGACGAAGATGAATCAATTTTCGTTCGAATCGACCGGTAGTTTTCGTTGGTATTTTGGAGACAATTCATAATTCGATGTATTCAGTTGTTACACGTGCGACGTCGTTTTTTAATAGATTAATCGAGTCGTTCTTCAATTGTCGGGTCAATTGAGTGTGAAGTGAGCACCATAGAAATGAGATAATTTCACGGTATTAAATCGTCGCGTTTTTTCATCGACTATTCTTTTAAATTAGAAATTTCCACGATGAAAAATGAATAAAAACAGATTAATTTCAGTTGCATCAGCCGACGTAGAAACAGCGGCGGGATCCAGGAAAAAGGTGGGCGTTATTAAATATTTCAATTGCGCAATGTCAAGGGGAAGACAATAATATTTTAAGAGAGATTACTGAAAATAATCCACGACAGCCAGTAAGGGTGGCGATGTTTCAAACGAAACTTCGTAAGCCATTCTACGATTATTCGTCACTCGCGGTGCAACTGGGAAAAATAAAGAAGATGAATAAATGGGTTTCGCATGTAAAGCGACACGCAGAAGACGAATAGCCACGTCGTTTCGAATACCGTATCTATCCGGACGACTTTTCAACGAATAAATTATGTCCAGAGCGAAGAAACTATAAAAGAAACCGTTCGAAGAATGTTTCAACAATAATATCATTTCAACAAGTTTTCATCAAATTGTTCGAATCGGCCATTTTAAAATAACGACGTTTCGCACGCATCACACCTACTGAAATTGAAATTGAAATACCTGCAACATGTAATATAATACAAATGTAGTTTCAACGTCGGTCGAATTTGATTGGGGATTCGATGTAACAGTAAAACAGTAGCGACCGGCGCTACTGTAATATCAAAATGTAAGTTCCGTCGGGATTATTGAATGGTCCGCAGCCGCCTCGGATTTGCACCATAAGCGAGTCTACTCTGTAAGCCATACGGCACCAATTTCCCGAATCCATATTTGCCACCTATAGCGCGGAATGTTTCGCCGAAGTCAATCTGCAGCACTTCGTAAAATTTCTATGTTGCATTTGCATTTGCAAAGGATAGTATGTACCTATTCAAGTTTGGTCCAGAACCAACCGTCTGTACCATTTCATTTTATCCTTCTCAATTCTCGTGCTAGAAATCTCAACAATTTCACCGTGAACAGACAGATAAACAGGCGTTATTCAAATCTTCAAATAAAATCTTCAAATTATCTTAGTC